GAGCCTGCCACCACACTCCTCCCCTCTTTGGGCTGTCCCCCGCAACGTGCATGGATCTCTTCACAGGAGCAGTTTTTCAGGCAACCAGCGACTCGAGCAGTGACGAAGCGTCCTGGTCTTCGCCGAGACACGCAAAGCAAGAGTCCCTGTCACGCTAAGCAAATAGCAAACGCCCACATGTATGCATGCACACACATATATATAGATGTATAGATAGATAGCTGCCCAAATACGCCCGTGTCGAAACGCAACACGTACCGTGTTCAAAACGTCCGTGTTGACACGCTGCGTGTTGGCTCGGCACGAGTTGGTTCACGTTTTGGCGAACGTATCGCGCCAGGCTTACGCTTTCAGTTTACGTGTTGAGCTCTGTGTCAACACGCTACGTGTTGCGTGTTAGGTTTCGGAGCAGTTGAGCCCGAAAGATGTCAAAGTAGATGGGGTCGGTGGGTTGCGCCGCACCGGCGATGCGTCGGCGATGCGCCTCGATGCGGAGCCCGATTCTCGCCGCGCCGACTTCAACAGTGCATCGGACATGCGGCGCGATGTTCGAAGACGATGTGATGAATAGAATGTTTTCCAACTTCGCTATGAATTGGCCCTGCAGGACTTTGCGAAACCTGCAAGTGGCCTCGCTCGCTGAGCGCTCTGGGCCCAAACGGCTACGCATGCGCATATATCACAGCTACGACAGATTTGTACAATTTGCTCCCTGATGGGCTCTTGCGCCCAAAAGCTAAGCTATGAAACCGCCACCTACCCCAACCTACCAACCGTTAAGTCGCTTATTGAAACACGTCCAGAACCGTATTGGCCTCGGACTTGTTGACGTCTACAAGACAGTGCAAGAGATGTCTGGATCTGAGTTTAAACGAAAACGCACTCTCACCCCCACATCCCTGCAAAGATTCACCACCCTTTGGAACCAGGCGAATTCCCATTCGCCGTGGTAAGGGAGGACTAAAAAAGACTGCACCTGGTCGCTCGGGGTACGCACCGTTCTGAAATTGCTGGGGCTGGGCAAACTACTGTTGGTTGAAACGTACTGCCGCGAAAAGGACTGCACCATCTTCCGTGCAATGCGAGAGTTGCTGCACAGTTCTGTAAAACGCCTGACCATGCTTTTAGGCCACGCGGCATGCACGTGCGTGGGATGAGCACTGGAACAGAGGAAAGGGGTGTAGAGGGACGTGGGCTTCACATGCACGCGGAAATCAAGAAATCCAGTGTGGTGCCACCGCACGCCCTTATACAACACCACGTCTGACATGACGGCCGAGATCTCGGAAACAGATTCTGTCTTCAACCTGAAGAAGCGGCTCTTCATCCTCAATATATCAAGCAGTCGGTCCACTCTTGTCCGATTTGCGCCGCTGACGATAAGGAGAATATCATCTTTGAAGCGTCCCCAGAATCGAATACCAAATCTCTGCATAAACCGTTCATTATTCATCACCCCCTCCTCCACCATGAAGTGGAATGCAGTATCGTTCACTTCTCCACTACAGCCGAGCCCCATGCCTGTTCCTATCTTCACCGTCCAGGAAACATTCGGCACGCCCTCCACTTGCACAATCTGGTTGCGCAGAATTGCACGGAGCATGATTTTGAAGGCAGTCCTTTCGCTGCCCTCTGGCACGCCCCTGCTGGAGTACTCGACGAGGTCATTGTGCTGACCACTCATGTAGAAGTCTTTGATGTCTATCTTTATCAGGATGTCATCGGCCGTGCACTTCATGAACTTTATGTGCTGCAGGAGGTCTCTACTGTCTCGTAAGATATGGGGCTGCGTCTTGATGAATTTCTTCAATGTGTCAGACACCCATTTCATTCCACCTTTCATGGGGTTGCATGGGGATGCGTGCAATGGTCTGAGTTCTACTCCGCCGACGTCTTTGTGAGACTTGATGGTGACTTTCATCTTGGATACTATGCCCGTTGCACCATCTCTTGCCCACGAAAGCATAGCGAAGATGAAACGCTTGTCCTGTAAGGCGCCTGCTGCCTCATGGACTGCAGACCGGTAGTCATCGAAGTATTCATCCGCCATGTCGTATTCCAATTGTCTGTATTTGTCACTCTGAGTCAACCGTACTTTCTCTAAGACGATGGCCCACTTATTGATTAGGCAAAATCCCCCATCCTTATCCGTAGGCAAAAGCCCATGTCCCCTCGGCGGAGAATCGAGAATGCAAGCCGGTGCACCTCGCAAAAGTTGGCGATGGAAGCACGTCTGCTTGAGAACTTCCCCCTTGCACGCCTGCACTCTTGCCAAACGCCGTCAACCACTTCGGATATGAAAGCGTTCTGCGAATCAGAGATGGGGAAGTTACACTCGGGCGTGGAAGCAAAGTTAGCGCGGAACCGTCAAAACGGGTTATCGTCAACATCTTCGCCCTGAGCTGAAGGTTGGTTGACGCCTAACTAGAATCTCCAGTGCTGCTTGTTCGCCCATTGTCGCAAGCATTTGGAAATTTGTGCAAGGTCAGGAGCCTCGGTCCCCCTAAAAATGTGCTTTCTGTGGTAACTCAGCAGGAATTCCACCAGCCAGGATATTTCACCTTTCTCTGGGATGAAACAAGCTTTGCGGTCGATGTCATACACATACACCTTTGGCGTATTGTTCCCAATCGAAAGAAGACGTTTGAAGTCAGCCATGGGTAACCCTTCAATGACTCTCCAAAACATCTGAGTGGCACGTTAGTTCACTGCCACTTTTGCTTTGTCTTGCCTCCTTTTCCTTTCCCAGTGTTTGATCCTGTCTTTCCGCCTTTGGAACCTTTGTCCTTCTCCTTGCCCTTGCCTTTCCAACTCTTGTCGTAACGCTCTTTGCCTTTGCCCTTGCCTTTCTGGGATCCGCTTGGTTTCCCAGCGCCACCCTTTGCTTTCCCTTTTGTTTTGCCTTTGTCCTGCCCCTTGGGATTGCCAGCTTTGTTCGAAAAGTCTCTGCCCTTTCCTTTGTTGTCCTTGCCTTTGCCTTTGCTTTTTCCTTTGCCAGCCCCCTTGCCCTTCGAGGGCTGGCGCAAACCGTTTTTTTTGTCAAGGCATTCTTGATATCAGTATCAGTTACTATCGAGGTCACCGCGTCGTGGAAATAAGCTGAAGGATTCGCATCACATCCAGCTTTCTGCTCCAACGTGTACACGTTTTGGAATTCCGACGTTTTCTCCACGCGCTGCCGATGCTGGTTGGACATATGTTTTTTGATACGTTTTTTCAACCGTGAAGTCCACGTACTGCTGGGGAGAAAAGGCCGAAAGTTCCTTGACCATCTTCTCACGGGCCTCATCCCTCAAGCTGGACGTTCTTTGCTTTGCCATTTTCTCCTCCGCTGCTTTGTCCATTATTTTCTTGTAGATCACAGCCGCCCTCGCCTTGAGGTCATCAGTGTTTGTCGGGTCATTGCCTTGTCTTCTTCGTCAAGGTCACGCCCCAGCGCATCCCAAGCTGATGGTTGAGAACGATTGGCAACCAAGATCTTTTTCACGAACGTGCTCTTTTTGGTGGTTATACGAAGCAGCTCTTGCTGGCGCTTCAATACCAAGAGGTCCAATCTTTTCTGTGCCCCCAACTGCTTCTTATGCACGATTTCTTTTGCCTCTCGCAACGTGGTTCGGGGCTGAATTGTGAATTCGCACTTTATTTCTTCCTCTACTTTCAAATCGTCCAGAACCGGCGTCTCGAACGATATTGGAACATTCCGCAAGCCTAAATTGGCTGGAATGTCGCCACCATCTGTACTCAGCGCTGCAATGATTGATTGTAGATGCTCGATGGTGGCCATGGTGTTTTGAAGAGATCCAATCTTGGCGCTCAGCTCCGTAGCTGCTTTCTTGATGCATTTCCGCACTTCCAATGTGGTGTAGTTTCCAAGCTTCTCTTCGACCATGGCTCTTATATCTTTATGTGCTCTTGGACTGTACGTCCGCGTCCTTGCCGGCGAGAGGTGGTCATCCTCTCCATCGTCACTGCCCCGCGGACTGCGGCTCCTTCCTCAAAGTTCACGAGGTTGCGCAGCATCTCCGAGACCAGGACGAGGTTGAACACTAGGATGTGGTAGTGCCCGTCTGCCTCTTTCACCCCGGTGTCCAGAAGCAGCTGCGCCTGCGCTGCCACCTCCTGGCTCCCCCGCAGTGGGACCATCACCAGGTACGAAGTCGCCCATTCTTCTGAAATGTTGTGGTGTACCAAGGACGATGTGATGAATAAAATGTTTTCCAACTTCGCTATGAATTGGCCCTGCAGGACTTTGCGAAAGCTGCAAGTGGTCTCGCTCGCTGAGCGCTCTGGGCCCAAACGGCTACGCATGCGCATATATCACAGCTCAGGGGAACCAGATTGTTATGACAGATTTGTACAATTTGCTCCCTGATGGGCTCTTACGCCCAAAAGCTATGCTATGCTATGCGATGCTAATGCTATTCTATGCTATGCTATGCTATGCGATGCGATGCGATGCGATGCTATGCTATGCTATGCTATGCTATGCCGAGACACGCATAGCAAGAGTCCCTGACACGCTAAGCAAATAGCAAACGCCCACATGTATGCATGCACACACACACACATATATATATAGATGTATAGATAGATAGCTGCCCAAATACGCCCGTGTCGAAACGCAACACGTACCGTGTTCAAAACGTCCGTGTTGACACGTTGCGTGTTGGCTCGGCACGCGTTGGTTCACGTTTTGGCGAACGTATCGCGCCAGGCTTACGCTTTCAGTTTACGTGGTGAGCTCCGTGTCAACACGCTACGTGTTGCGTGTTAGGTTTCGGATCAGTTGAGCCCGAAAGATGTCAAAGTAGATGGGGTCGGTGGGTTGCGCCGCACCGGCGATGCGTCGGCGATGCGCCTCGATGCGGAGCCCGATTCTCGCCGCGCCGACTTCACCAGTGCATCGGACATGCGGCGCGATGTTCAGACCCGATCTGCTTCGATCCCATCTGGGCGGCCTCCATCGGGTGAGGACCGGTCTGGCCAGAGCGCTCCCAGAA